CCTTCTTCTGCCCCAGTCCCTTTGCTCATCCAACTGCTATACAGTCACTCAAAGTACTGCGGCTGTTGCTGTCTGTCTCTCTCCCCACTACATTTCAGGCTGCTCACGTAAGTAGCTCTGTCTCTTCAATTTCCAGCGCCTACCACAATGTATTTCCAAGGCACCAATCATCCAAACCAGAAAGGACTCCAGTTCCAGGAGCCTAAGGGAAAGTTTGCATCAGGTCTCTCCGCCCTGCTGACTGTGCCGATATACCAGACTCTAGCAATCAGGGGGAGCAGCCCAGGGTGCTTACTAGGGCCCCCCAAAACAGGACCCATTACCATCTCAGGGTGAGTCCTTCAGATGCCATATCACCTTGAGTCCTCAGGACAGCCTCGACAGCTAAGATACTATACCCATTTCATAAGGACCCGAGGCTCAGAGAGACTGCATGCTTGCCCGATGGCCCACAGCAAACGCAGGGCATGGCTCGAATGCAGGCAGTGGAGCCCCGAGCCCGTGCTCTCCACCACTCCAGCAAGGCTGGAGAGAACGTGGTACGCTCCTCATTCTTTTCCATTCCCACCCCACCAAACCGACCCATCTATCACCACACAGACACTGGCACACTGGTAGCCAGCTGACCTTCCTCCGGGGTCGGGCTGCTAAGTGCCACAGCGTGAAGGGCATCGCTGAGAGCCCATGATCCAAAATAACTCTCAGGCATCCCCCGGAGCAAATGCAGATCCTCGCAGGCAGCCATTCTTCATGCACTGAACATCCTTAGTTAAAACCCAAATATTATCCAGAGCAAACTGCCTACAGCTAGCGTGAGTCATGCACATTCTGGAGTAAATTACCCAAATTATCCAACAGGCTGAATATGAAGGAACCTGTCTAGGCAACAGTAGGTACTGGAAAGGAGAAATTTCAAGAAACATCTACAGCAGTAGCAGTGAACCTATGGCACTCACGCCACAGCCAGCCTGCAAAGCCCTCTGTGTCAGGGCAGCCAAGTCCCCAGCATCTGAGCATCTGATGATTTGTTTTATGTAAAAGAAAACCTCAGTGTTCAGGTTTAATTGGACTGTTGGCATTTTCTGATAAATAAGTGGGTTTGGGGTTGCAGTGTGGGCACTCAGTCTCTAGAAGTTTCCCTGTCACTGGTCTAGGGGGTGCCATGACGTCAGGTGCACGCACAATTACTGACGTGTGGTCAGGGCAGGGAGCACAGGACCACTAGGAGGGTCTGCTAAGATCGCAGATGATGGGAAATTTCCATCGCTGCTTTGGAGCCCGACAGCAGCACCAAAAAGTTACTCCTCCACAGCAAAGCAAAGCCTACAGAGCAGAGAGAGGTTCTGTACGGCTCAGCTAACAATACTTGTCTTCATCAGACGAGAGCCAACGAAGAGCTAGACAAAAAGCCGACAAGCTAGTCACTGTCTAAAGAGCAGATACTCATGCTGAACGTGGCATTACGGCACCAGGGAGAAGGCTTCTCGATTCTTTTCACACTCGAAGTCGCCATCCTCCTGCTCCTGCCACCTGTGTTAGGACTCAGGCCCCTCAGCCCCCACAGAGTGGCACGGAAACTGCTTTCACCCGTGAACTGTCGTCTTTAGCCCTGGGCCACTTCTGGCCTGGCTTCCCAGGGTGATGTGGATCAGGCCAGAGAAAGGGGGAAGAACCAGGTCTTTGGACCAGAGAACAGGGTGCCAAGGGCCCTGGGGACAAGGCTAGCTTGTCCACTTTCTTCCCGGGCAAAGTAAAGGGACAAACACTAGACAATATTTCCGAACTGCAGCCCAGTGAATACCACTCCAGGACAGTAACCGTGCCCATTTCCATCTCTACTGGCAAACACTTCTCATCTGGAACAGGTTGTGGCGTTTACACACATTTCAAAAGGAAACTTTGTATCATTGTGCAATTACTCACTTAATGCAACAATGTTTCCTTTACTGACAAGACACAAAGCTATGCGCATCCCCATGCCCTGGAATCAGGGTCACTACACCGCGGGGCAGCCAGGGAAGCACAAAGCCATCATCCCAGAGAGTTCGAGGGTTCCAGCCACTGCTGGACGCGACCTGCAACAGAGTCCACCCCCTCTGCAGCACTCGGTGCCCCTCCCCCGCCCGGTCCCCTCCGGTCGCCTCCGCCCCGCCCCTCGCCTCGACGTTTCCTGTCAAAACAAACCCTTGGGGGAGGGGACGGCCCGAGCCAGCCCAGCCAGTGCGGGGAACAGCGCCTGGGCCCCAATACTCGCCGACCTCCCCTTCTCAGCTCAGCCCCTACCTAGGGGCCCCTGGGAGCGGGGACCCCTTGCAGCCCGACACCGCGCGACACCTGGCGCGCCCTTTGTGCTAGACGGGGCTCGAGGCGGACAAGGGGACGGCTCCGACCCCGCAGCTCCAGGACGAGGTTGAGACTGGGGCCCGAGTGGGGATCTCCGGATGGCCCGGAGCGCTGTCCCCGTGAGCAGTCGTCACCCAGGGCCGCGTACGCACCGGTGCGGCGCGAAGAGGAAATCGGCAAAGAGCGGCGCAAGCCAGGGGTGCGGTGTCCCTCGTCTCCGTGTCCCTTCGCCGAGTGGAGCACAGCGTGGAAACTCCCAGCCAACAACTCCAGGCCCCGCGCCCCCCCCTCGGGATTTAAAGGGCCCTGAGGTCCCCAGGGAGGTGGCTGTCACCAAATGGGCGCGGGGGGAACGGCGCGGCGGGCCAGGGAGATCGGGGTGTCACAGG